TACTCTTTGGTCTTTTGTTACATAGATCTAATAAGCAGTGTTTCTTCCAGACTTTTTTCTCCGGGGGGGGGGCACTTGAAATCTTCGGGGGGCGGTGAAACTTTCTTCGGGGGGGCGGACACTGTTAAAAGTATATATTTTCTATATAAATTATATAAATTTCATTTCGTTCGGGGGGGCGGTAAAAATTTTTCGGGGGGGGGGGGGGGGGGCTTCGCCCCCCCGAAGAGATGCCTGGAAGAAACTCTGCTAATAAGATCTTCTACAAATGTAGGCTACTTGCTAAGGCTCTACAGGTTTATTCGAAACTATGCCTGGTCATTCAAAAGTTAGCTTCTATTTTTAATTATCTCCCTTTCATCGTTACGATATTCCTACCGGAAGTAAATATTAGGCTATTGTAAAGTGTAAAAACTCTCTTTTGATAATTAGATCTAAAAGATGCAACTAAATAATATTGTATATTATACACCTCCCATATGTAATTGAAAACATATATCTTTTAAAGTATATTTCAAAGGTTTAAGTGACCATATTACTCGACATTAAGTAACAGTAAAAACTTTTCCAGCAGCTGATCAATAGTCAAACACCGCGGCAAATACAAAAAAAAATTTATGCAGTCTAGAATCTAGGAAAATATTATAATTTATTATTATTATTATTTAACAATACTTTGTTTACTGATACTGTTAAAATTAAATGTAACCTTTATTATAGATCTAGTCTACTATAAGCTTAGTTACCATGATGCCGATATAATGAAGTTAATCAAAATACTTTGTTGGTTATGAGTGCCAAGATTGAGATTACATTGGTAAATCAATTCCTTCTTGAGTCAGCGGAAATTCATAATTAAGAAAGTAAGACAATTTTGAATTTTTGCCATTCATTTTTAACTTATAGATCTAGACTCTATGTAAAATATAGATAGATCTAGATCTAGATCCTATATTTTATGCTATAGTATAGGGATGCCATTTTGAATTGACTTGTTGAATCCCCAGCAGAATGCCCCCCCCCCCCCCCTCCCTCAGAATCTCTAGACTAGAAGGAGACAAACTAAAATCTAAGCCCTAGAACTAGAATAAAAATTGAGGTATCTTTTTAATTCCTTTGGCTAATAAAAACCCACTGTGTTTACAATAATGTGTGACATCATAATGAACTCAGGTGTTGACCATTGTACTGAGAAAACTATTTGATTGGATAGCAGCTGATCATTCATTATAAAATGACTTTCCTGAATATTAACCAACTTTCTAATTTTAAAAAAAATAGTTAATTTATTATGTTTCTAAAAAACTAAAATTACTTTAATCAGGAATTTAACAATACTATAGGTGACATTCACAATTTGCATCAATATGGCATGGGCTACATAGATATTTTAAGCAACACACAATGGATGAGCCTAAGGCACAAAAGCTGCCGTTAGCAACATTTAAGCCCTTTACAGAAGAATCTTATCAGTTTCTGGTTGAAAGAGAAGCTCAGCTCAATGAGAGAGAGCTACATCGAGCAAGGCATGCACAGGATGCTCATCTTGTTGATGGTGAGCTCAAATTTGGTGCCCAAGAAGAAGAAGACATTCTTCCCCCAGAAAATCCAGATCTTAGAGAAGGTTGTGTTCTTACAAAGGCTTATGGTCGGTTTCCACCCCGTTTAATAGGAAAGCCTATAGAAGAAATTGATCCAGGTATAAGAGGAAAAGTAAGTAATTTTTTAAGTTATTGATTTTTACAAACTTTTGTGTGAGGTATTTTAGAAATTAAAAAAATAGAAAACTACATTAATTCATTTTTGCTAATACATAATTAAAATGTTAATTTTTAATACGTTTATGTAAATTTCTTTCACTCAGACTTTTGTGATCATTGGATCTCGGTTTGGCAAGCCCTATATCTACAGATTTACGGCCACGAAGTCCTTGTTTATTTTTCCTCCATGGAATCTTGTGAGACGCATAACGCTACTGATTGCTACTAATCAGTTTTTTGACCTATGCATTTTCCTAACCATTATTGCCAACTGTGTTTTTTTGGCAATGCCATATCTTGCAATTGCTGAGAAAGTTGAGTGAGTTCTTTTCTAAGTTTTTTTAAACTGTTTATTTTGTTAACTTTTATGTTTCAAAGTATTTATGTAATTCATGTTAATCATTGTTTATATTCCAAACTTGCAAAATTTAAGATCTAAAACAATGAAATAAATATAAACTAAAATGTTTTTGTTTTCTACTTCTATTTTCAGATATTTGTTTTTAGCTATATATTCTTTAGAGTGCATAATTAAGATGCTAGCTCGAGGATTTATGTTTAATAAACACACATATCTTCATGATCCGTGGAACTGGCTAGATTTTATTGTTGTGTCAACATCGTAAGTTTAACCTATCCTATTTCACTAAATTTTCATGTGCTTTATATATTCAAACTGTTTAAAGAAGACAGTTGAATTATTAAATGAGCTTTTACATTTTTAAACATGTATTCCATGATAATATAAACAAAAAAAAAACTAGATTAGTAATGAGATGGTGTGGGTGGTCGTTTGCCTGACTCTGGCTTTAAAGTTTGTACCCCTGAGCAGACTAAGGAGCATATAAAATTGCTTCTTTGCTCACAATTGAAGTCTAGTTTATCTTATTTTTGTTTGCTTTACTCAGGTACATGACAATTGGATGGCAGTTAATGTCTCAAGATTTATCAGTTGGAAATTTACAGGGATTGCGGACATTTAGAGTACTCAGAGCATTAAAAACTGTGTCCATTGTTCCAGGTTGGTTTTTTGTATACAGCTACTCTTTAAAATGGTTTCAAATTTACTTGTAATATTAAATTATTTATTATCTATTTAAACATTGATAATATATTTATAAATATATTGAACTTTTTTCATGTTGGATAAACTAGCCATCTACAGTTCTAATTCTGAAAAAATTTGATCTAGGTCTCAAAACAATGGTCAGTGCCTTACTAAGAGCATTCAGAATGCTTTTTGAAGTAATCTTGTTAACCTTCTTTTGCTTAATGGTGTTCGCTATGTTTGGACTCCAAATTTTCCTTGGCACTTTCCGCCAAAAGTGTGTCAAAGAAGTTACAGGATACTTTGACAATCCCACCATGTCTCTTGATGTTTATTATGCTGAGTGGATTCGCAATCCCGGTAAGTAATTCCATTCCATTTAATATATATGTTCAGTTTATTGTTTTCTAGTTGAATAGACCCCTCTTAGAGGAAAGTCACGATTTAATCTTTTTATAGTTATCCTCAACCTATTGCAAAGAAATATATACATATAGTGTTTCAAAAATTAAAATATATTTGTTGAATTTATGTCTAAGTATAAAAAGAATCATATTTGTGTTATTAAATTTTAATTTTTTAAATTAGGAAATAAGACTTATAGGAATGTGATTTAACATTATCTGTTTAATGTTTCAGATAACTGGCTGATGGATGAGTACCAAGAATATGTAGTGTGTGGAAATTCAAGTGGAGCAGGGTTTGTTGCATTTTTTTTAAGAGTATAGGCCTACATGCATAGAAACATTTTACAAGAGTACAATTCCATTAAAATATTTTAATATATAGGAATGAGTATTGTAATTAAGAATTCAAAACCATTAAAAAGATGGAATTGTACTCTTGTAAAATATTAAAATATTTTTCTCCAATGTTTCATAGAAGTAGGCCTACATCCCAATCTACTGAAGATTATTTAAATAATTTTTTATGTTTAAAGTCCTATATTAATTATTTGAAGAACATTTGTTTTTTAATTGTATTATTTATGCATCATTTTAAGTTTTTTACTTAATGTCCTATCTAAATTAAAAGAAAATGTTTATTAAAATTCCCAATAATTATTCTAATAATTTTTCCAAAAAATAAAATGTTATAGAAGAAGCTCATTTTGTATTTTTAAGACAATGCCCAGAAAAATTTGTCTGTTTGCCTGATATTGGGGACAATCCACGATTTGGCTACCTCAGTTTCGATCACTTTGGATGGGCCTTACTTACCTGCTTTCAGTTAGTTACCTTAGACTTTTGGGAAGATATTTATAATAAGGTTGGTTGTTGAAGTCATGAAAACTTATAGTGTTGGTGAAAATTTTCTTAACTGTTTTGATCATATACTTTTTTTATGTTACTTTTTAAGAAGCATTAATTCTTTTGAATATTAAGTTTCATTTGGTATTTTAAATTTTATTCCTTATTAAATAAATTTTTTGTTAAATGAAATTACTTTTCTCTTTGTAAATTTTGAAATGTGGGTCATATACTAGGCCTATTATGGTTTTTAGGGGCACACTTTTCTAACACAGTGGCACTTTATTAATTAAACAAGATCCATATTTTGTTTCTTCTAGTACAGAACTTTAGATACCTGGTCTTTAAGTTTAGAAATTTGTGAAATTTTCTCTTATTGCTCACCAGTAAAAATATGTACAATTTAGTTGCACAAAATACAAGAATACTTTCAAGACCCCACACTCTCTGAAGAATAATATCTGTGGTGTTTAGACTTTGATTGTTAAAATATTCAAAGGAACAATCCTATCTTTATCTTCATTTCCAAAAACTATTCCAAGAGGCTAAGGTTTGGAGTTTTTCATGTCATTCCATAAAAAAGAATTATCCTACCTGATAATTACAATTCCAAAAATTTTGCCTTGCATCTTATTCAGAAAAAAATTTAAATTCCTAAAGGGTACTTGTTTATCAAACATAGAACCATTAGTTTTATTATCATTGAATGTTTATTAAGTTTCTCACACATAACTACTGAACTAACCTGACCACAATATGAGACCTTGAGAATTAGTTTTTTATTTTTAATTTCGGACATTTTTTTCATAATTAGGCCATTCGAGCTACAGGCCCATGGAATGTTATCTATTTTATCGTTGTGATTTTCTTTGGATCATTCTACCTCATCAATCTAATGCTGGCTGTGGTTTCAATGTCTTATGAGGAAGAGGCAGTCAGTGCTGGAAAGGTAATTCCTTACATTTTTCTCTTACAATGCTTGTTGTAATAAGTAATGTTCTACATAGTCCATAGGTCAGATGTTGTAGGGCTTCTGTTCTATTTCTTGACATTGGCATACAAAGGGATTGTGCAGTAAAAATTATGCTTGCTCTGAATTGTTAAATCTAGGATATTAAGAACCTTGGAAACACTGAAATAGTTGTCATTTTTAAGTAGCCTATAAACAAACTTTTTAAATATTAATTTAAAGCTAGTCCCATAATAAACTATTACTTTTTGTTTAATTAAAACAAAATGTTTCTGCTTAACACTATTAACATTTGTTGTAAATGTGAACACATGTGAATGATGCAAAGAATTACGATTTATAAAAATGATTAAATAACCTATGTAAATAATCAATTTAAAAACGAAAAATCTACTTTTGATGGCAATAGGAGAAAGAAAGAGAAAAGAAAGAAAATGCCAGGAACAAGCACAATGCATTGTATGATGTCACTATGATGCACCAGAAGGCTAAAGTCTTGGGCAATAAGGCTAAAACCATGGCCCGAACTAGATCTTTAGGTTTGATTGATGAAAGCTCAAGTGACAAATCCTCGGACACATTGAACAAGACAAACAGTAATGCTGCAGGGGAAAGTAACGAGCCTGAGAAGTCAGACAGTAGAATATCTGCAGTTGATCCTGTCGATGAAAATCTGTTATCCCAAGGTTTCACTCCAACCTTCTTTTGGAAGGTAAGTTTTGTAAGACAATTCACTCAGTTTTTCTAAACATTCAGCTTGTTACAAAATAATTAGCTAACCACTGCACTATTTTTTTAATGAAACTTTCTTTCTTCTACTCTATATGAGGCTATTTTGTATAAGAAAAAACATTTTTTTACTATTTTAATTTAACTTTATTTATAGGAGAACAAAAGTCCTTCAACAAAAGGTGTAGTGATGGAAGGAATCACCATAATCAAAGGTAGGTACTTCATTTTTAGAAACTGAGATTAGCTTCTAGTTTGAAAATATGGAAACATCACAATGTAAATACACATTTTTAATAAAGCTCTTTACACCTGTTACACTCGGCTTCTTATATATTTTTGGCTAGTTTGAGTCAGGTTTAGCATTAATAAATAAATACACTCCACAAAGAGAATCTGTATCATAGGTGTATAATTATCATCAATCACAAAAACACATGACAAGAAGTAAAACTGACGAGTTGGTACATAATGTTGACGCCACACCACATTGCTTCACACACTGCTTCGTTCACACACTTTTGTCCCGCTAACACACCACTGTCAAAGGGGAGGCTACTCTCACACTCACTATTTCCGTGCCTACACATTTTCATTATAGACAATCCATGTCACAACACCACCAGCCATTTTTCTTTTTTTGAAACTTATGCTTTATAAATAATAATTTTTCTATAGTAATTTTTGTTACACTCTTACCTATCATTTAAATAACAGCGGACACACTGTTGGACCCAGACATTGGTGCCTTGGAAGGTCAAGTTATCGACCGCAATTGTGATTGCTGTGAAAAGTGGATGTGCCTGTACATCAAATTTCTCCAGCTGCAGAACTCTTTCTATGTATTTGTTTCCGACCCCTTGTTCGATCTTATTATAACTTTCTGTATCTTCATCAACACCCTGTTTTTGTCGCTTGAGCATCACAATCAGTCAGACACTCTAACTACTATCTTGAGAGTCTCCAATGCTGTAAGTATGGCTTTTTACTAAAGCTTGTTTTAGGTTTTGGTTTTGTGTTTTTACTTTATCAGAAAGGTTTTGGGGTTTTTTTTATGTTGATGGAGGATACACTTAACTATTTTGCTGTTATGCAATTGTGATGTTATTGGCGCAGTCTGTCGAATCCATCCATCAGCTTGGAGCTCATTGCACTATAATACTGTTGTAAGACAATGTTGACAAATTTAAATTTGTGTAACTGTTTATAATTAGACAAAAATAAGCTGGCACAACAAAAACAAGAACATTGCTATGCAACAAATGACCAGGCAAGAGTAATTAATGCTTTAATAAAACACCTAAATAGTATGCCAATAGGCTAAACAATATCAAAACAGAGTAAACTTAACATGTAGCTTACTGTAGTTCAAAGTAACATTGACATTTTAATAATATATATATATATATATATATATATATATATATATATATATATATATATATATATATATGTATTTAGGCCTATGTATATTATTTTATTTATAACTAAATTTATAACACTTGTCACAGTTGATATATTGCTTGACATCTTTGTGGGTGTTTTCTAACAGATATTTACAGCAGTGTTTTCTATAGAAGCTGCCTGCAAGATAATTGGCCTTGGAAAGTATTACTTTGTGGTGGGTTGGAACATTTTTGATCTAGTCATAGCCATAGCCAGTATTCTGGATTTAGGCATGGAGACAGTCGATGGATTAAATGTCTTACGGACATTCCGACTAGTACGTTCAAACATTTTGATCTTTTTTTATGACTTTAAATTTTTCAAATGTGTTTTTTTGCAGTATTTCCTGTTTTTTTGTTTTAAATTTAGTTAATTTCTGTTTTTTTATGTATAATCAGTTTGAAAGTGTGTTTTTTGCATTATTTGCGATTTTAAAAAAATGTGTAATATATTTAAGTTTAAAAGACATTATTCTAATTTTATGACTTATGGTAAAAAATGTTATCCAAAATTGAAGTGAATTCCTTATAAAATTTTGTAGCTGAGAGTTTTCAAATTAGCCCAATCCTGGCCAACAATGAGACTCTTGCTGACTATTATCGTAAGCACGCTGGGTGCTCTAGGTAACCTCTGCCTTATTCTTGGAATCGTCATATACATATTTGCTGTTATTGGCCTGCAGCTCTTTCGTTCACAGTACACAGATGACGTGTACGCTGGAGATTTTCCTAGGTAATTTAGTTTAACATCACAATTACATCTCTATAAAATCTTTTTTGTGTTCTTATAATCAAGCTAATAACAATAAATTAGAAATGTGTGTTTAAAATGTCTTTTTGTTTTCTCTAGGTCTCAAACATATAGATTTCTAGTTTTACTATTTAAGTTCAGTTTGTTTTATTATTTTACTGTCAATTACATATATTTCTACCTGTACTACCATTATCTCTGCAGATGGCATTTTCGAGATTTCTATCATTCTATGTTAATGATTTTCCGTGTACTATGTGGAGAGTGGATAGAGCCACTTTATGATTGTATGAGAGCATCAAATGAACTTTGTATGGTAGTTTTTTTGCCAGCTCTTGTCTTTGGAAACTTTGTGGTAAGTATTTCTTTTCTATATAGCTTCTAATATATACACCTTGATAGTAAGGCCTACCATTTGACTTTGATATACTTGTATTTATACTATGTAGCCAATCTTATTTAAATAATAAATGTTTTATCTTAGTAAACTTATCAACCTACATTGTTAAATACATAAACATTTGCTATTCAAATTTTGTCATGCAAGTCCAGTTCAAACCGGGTGTTTACAACTCTGCAGGTCTTGAATCTCTTTCTTGCTTTACTGCTGAATGCTTTTGCCAGCGACTCACTAGACAAGCACAGAGAGACTAGCTCAGAGCGCTCCAAGCTGATGGATGGATTTGACAGACTGCGCCAGCTGCTGTGCTGTTGTTGTTCCTGCCCTAATGGTAAGGTGGAGCCGTCTGCCAACACCCAACAATTTCCATCTCAGGGGGAGCAGGACACAGCGTTGTCAACAAAAGATGGAAAAGGTGAAGATCTTTTCACTGGCAGTATGCTTGTGATATGACTCCATCGCATTAGATGGTTTGGAAGTGTACAACTCCGTGTCACTACTGACCCCTGATAGATGTCGGCACCCATCTGAACATGAGGCCAAAACTTTATATGATAATTTATCTTATTTTAAGTCATTGTGTTCAATTGTTTCAGTAAAAATCTATTTTTTCCTCATTGTCATTTTGATGCTGACACACTACCTACTAAGTTAATGCAGAGGGAGTTAGATTATTTCACTAGAGCCATTTTCAAATTAATATTCAGAACAATCCAGTTTTCAAAATACTTTGTTCATTATCGTTTCAACTTAAATATTTTAAATACCACACAAGTTGCAGACAAGGGACATATCTATTTTAGGGTAAATTAAATTTTTTATTAAAGTTGATCATTTTTTACAGAGTGTAATGCTTTTAATTTTTAGACATAAAAATAAATGCACAGATTTTTGTGGAAAAATTCTGGTTTAAATGAAAATTGTCAAAACAAAAGTAAAAAGTAATTAAACCTTGCTAGATAACAATGACAGTAACTGTTTCTATCATATTAGAACTCCAATATCATGGTTAAGTTTTTATATAAATCATCCAACACAATTAATTAATTAATAGTTAATGCATCAAGAGATTAACATTTGATGTATAACAGCTGTTACAATAAATATTAATTTTGTACTCGTCATCACAATTTTTATTGCTAGCAAATTTTGTTAACGCTGTACCCTGTTCCAATTTTATTTTTTACAGCTTTTTCAGCAAAGGAGCCTAACAAAACTGAGCAGGCTCCCGACTTCAACTCCAATGCCAGTGCAGATGAAGCTGTCGCAGAAGCTGACAAGAAAAATGCGCAGCAACATGCTAAAGCCTGGGCTCAGAAGATCCATAGAGACAGCCAGCTTTCTGTAAGTTGTGTGTACTGAGGGATGTGGAATGACAGTCAGCTTTCTGTAAGTTGTGTGTACTGAGGGATATGGAATGACAGTCAGCTTTCTGTAAGTTGTGTGTACTGAGGGATATGGAATGACAGTCAGCTTTCTGTAAGTTGTGTGTACTGAGGGATGTGGAATGACAGTCAGCTTTCTGTAAGTTGTGTGTACTGAGGGATGTGGAATGACAGTCAGCTTTCTGTAAGTTGTGTGTACTTGGGGATGTGGAATGACAGTCAGCTTTCTGTAAGTTGTGTGTACTGAGGGATGTGGAATGACAGTCAGCTTTCTGTAAGTTGTGTGTACTGAGGGATATGGAATGACAGTCAGCTTTCTGTAAGTTGTGTGTACTGAGGGATGTGGAATGACAGTCAGCTTTCTGTAAGTTGTGTGTACTGAGGGATATGGAATGACAGTCAGCTTTCTGTAAGTTGTGTGTACTTGGGGATGTGGAATGACAGTCAGCTTTCTGTAAGTTGTGTGTACTTGGGGATGTGGAATGACAGTCAGCTTTCTGTAAGTTGTGTGTACTGAGGGATGTGGAATGACAGTCAGCTTTCTGTAAGTTGTGTATACTGAGGGATGTGGAATGACAGTCAGCTTTCTGTAAGTTGTGTGTACTGAGGGATATGGAATGACAGTCAGCTTTCTGTAAGTTGTGTGTACTGAGGGATGTGGAATGACAATTCAAACCTTTTTTTTTATGTATGGCTCACAGATATTTGAAACTTGCAGTTAATTCTTTTTTGTTTTTAAATAATTTTAATGTTTTGTTTTATATGATTCAACAACAACTTTACTTATCCTCCGAAATACATTTTTAAAAATTTTTACCTCACTTAATTCCTTGCCATGTATTTCTGGGTAATCTTGCAATAAATTTGCTATAAATTCTGCAGCCTTTAATCCAATTTCTTTGATATGATTCTATTTCTTTAAGAGTAACAGGAAAGTTAACTGAGTTTGCTCTAAGAGAATGAGTAGAAGAGGAATAAAAGTTAATGATAATAATTGTGAACTAAGCTGGCCCATCATGTAAAAAATATTTTTCGCTTTCAAAAGTTTAGGAGCAAACATTTTTTTTTTAATCTGTGTGCATTACAGACCTATTTAATAGACCTTATTAATTGCCTTTTTATGTAGCCCTAATTATTTTATTTTTATTGAAAAGGATGTTGTTAATTTCCATCTCTTGTAGACTCCAGGTCAAGACTCCATTCACAAAACTGTGCCAGAAGGCTTGGAGAGTAGCACCAGTGAACAAGAGAGTGTAGCAGCAGAATTAAACACTGAGAAACCTACTGGTGCCGTATCAGAAACATCAGAACCCCAAGATGATTTACCTCCTAACTGTTTTCCAGATTGGTTTCGACCTTAGTAAGTTTTAGTTGATGTAGTTTGTTTAACTTTGTCAATTTTATCAATATAATTTGTTTAACTACTGACCTCCACCACTAGATCATGCTGTCCCATGTTGCTTTACTCACAAATTAAATATCCTTGGTGTCTCTCCTACAGTTTATATGGATTGAATACTTTCAATGAAAGCAAATTTGGCAAGACATGGACCTGTTGCAGAAACTTTATCAGAAAGATAGTAGAGCATAGGTTTTTTGAGTCACTTGTACTGATCATGATATTAGGAAGTAGCCTGTCTTTGGTAAGTAGTTGTGCACTTACTCATCTAAGAAAGTAAATTATAGTTGCTTTTTATAAGCTTTTATTTAAATTTGCTTTCTCTGTCTGTCTAAATCAAAACGGGAGAGCGAAATTTCTGGCAATTCTAACATATCAATTTTTCTGAACCCAAGACCCAATAACAATGCAATATGACATTAAATTTGCCTTAATTGGATGACTAATTTTTCATGAATTAATTAAAATTTTCTGAAATTAGTAAGCACTGTTGTCCCTGTTGTTATTACAAGCTATTTAGTTCGCTAGATGCTATCACCCGATCAGTCTGGTGAGCTGTGGTTCACTTAGAAAGTTTACAATTGTAGAGCGGGTCGAATTGGTGAAGACTATTAAGGGCAGAATAAAGTTTTTAAACGATTTGAAACTTAGGATAGGTGAGAAAATTAAGAACTTGCTGTCGTCTGTAAAACATAATCATGGACGGCTGCTTTCATATATCCCGAGCGACTGATGATGTTTTTAAGGAAATATTTTTTGTCAGAAATCACTAAAAAAGTAGAAAATAAAACAAATATAAAAAACCTTTAAAGTAACAAGCTTTTAAATATTTGTTTTATTTATATTTAACTTTGTATTTTACTGCCCCTTCACATTTTTTGGATAGGTTGCCCCTTTACTTTTAAAGCAGAAAGAGAGATTTGCATTGTTATCCATTGTATAGCATGTTTCTGCAGAAAAACAAACACTTTCTCTTCATAACTTTCAGATTTGTTTATTGTTATATATACAAAAAATACACAAACCCCAGCTTTAGTAGGAGGCCTATTAAGATAAGTTTTTCCTTTTTTCAAGGCATTTGAAGACATCTATCTATATCAGCGTAAGACATTGCAGTACATACTAGGTATCTGCAACTTCACCTTCTCTGTGCTGTTTACTATTGAGATGGTTCTCAAACTGATTGGCCTGGGTCTGACTGAGTACTTCACCAACTTCTGGACCATATTAGACTTCTTTATTGTCTTTGTAAGTAGAATTTTACTCATTATGACCATAGTGATAAAATATTCAGCCAGAGCATGTAAGTGTGAACATGGTGTAAAATGGTTGATCAGCTTGCTCTCAGAAGAAAAACAAAATGTCTAGTTCAAATAATTGTGAGCTTTGAAAACAACAACTGTAAAGGAATTAATTTATCATTAACATCTCTTGTGCCTCATTAGAAATAAACACTGGAACACAGATAACCTTATATACACTTACCACTACAGTATTACAGACCAATAAACATAATGATATAATGTCTTCTGCTCTCCTATTGTGAAATGTCCTTCACTTCATCTTTACCTGTCTTATTTATACCTTTATGGTTGGAATAAACAATCATTTCTAATTCTATCTAAAATGCCATCTGCAGAGATAATGGTACTCTATGTATTCTATCTTATCTCTATCTTATCTCTTGATGGTTCTAGTTGCTAGCAGCTCACTCAAATAGCTGACATTTAGTTAACTGTTCACAAACATAATAGCATTACCAATATCCCGTTTTAAGTTAATAACCTTACATAGTTCATATTTGGAACATAGGACTAGCCTAGCTACCAGGAGTGGACCACCTTATGGTGCTACTGAATGTATCTGAATAAAAGTTCTCTCTTAGATTTACTTCATTTGGGGCTGAAAGCAGAAAAAAAAACTGTGTTATATTTAACTTTACCAGTACTCTATTCACTTGAAGTCTTCAACACTTTAACAATACTTTATAAGAAAAATGTTCAACTTTGTGTTTGCTGTTCAAGTTTTTACAAGTTAGTTTTTGTTTATGATTCAGTCCTATGGTTTATTAATGAAAGACATTTTGAGAAACTTGCTTGACATTTCCAATCCTAGACATCAATAACTAGCATGGCTAGTGACTACATTGGTCTCAACAAAATGACTGGTTTTAGGTCCCTGAGAACATTGCGCTCACTCAGACCTTTAAGAGCAATATCAAGGTGGCAAGGAATGAAGGTGAGATTTTACATCTTGGCTAAATCTTTTGCTAAATATAACATTTTGACACTTTTTTTTTCATCTTTCCAATTAAATCATTTTAAGTTGCAAGTAGTTTTTTCCACTTGTAAATTAAAAAAAAATAGAAAATGTCCTTCTCGAATTCCTTTTTAGAGAAACACATTTTATTTTTAAGTTTATTTAAATCTTAATCACTAATTTTATTTTGACAGAAAGATATAGAATTTATGTTGACAATAGGTTGTATATTTTGACATTTATGGTGTTTGATGCTTAGTTCACCATTTCCTCCATGCACTTGTTTTAATTAACAAAAAGTAATTTTTTAAAGTGTAAAAATGTAAGGATCATAATTGTAATTTCCCATTTGATTCACATACAGATTGTGGTAAATGCTTTGATGAACGCCATTCCAGCTATTATCAACGTCTTCCTTGTCTGTATGGTTTTCTGGCTGATCTTCAGCATCATGGGTGTACAATTTTTCAAGGGTCGGTTTTATAAATGTAGAAATGCAACAAATAAACAAGTGTTTGAAGCAGACATTGTTGCCAGTAAGGCTGATTGTGACATTGTCAATGGTGTGTGGGAGAACTCTAATGTCAACTTTGACAATGCGGCTATTGGTTTTCTAGCATTGTTCCAAGTTGTAAGTCTTATGATGTTCAAATTATGCATTAGAATTTACTTTTAAATCAGAATTAAGTTTTTTGATTTGTTTTTATAGTGGTGTTGATAGCTATTTCTATTGAATGTTAGAAGTTCAAACCCCTTTTCAGTCAATAGGACACATGAAATAAAGTTATTATGTTATGTTTCTCAGGTAATCAGGCAATTAAAACAAACCTAATAATTATGGTAAAATAATTTTAACTACAAAGCATGAATGTAGATATGTAAAATATTAATGTAAAAAATGACAAAAATTAACTAGTATATGCATGAAATTATAAATTAAAATGCAACAAATTTAAACCATTCCCACTTTTGGAGACAATTATTATGAAGGCTACATAAAGTTTTTTAAGCACTGATCAGTTCTAATTCATCCAGATTTCAACACTACTAATATTATTCCATTCTGTCACAAGGATGCAGTTTTAAATTAGACGTTTAAAGAAAAGTTTTAATTTACTCCACAGGCAACATTTGAAGGCTGGATGGAAGTGATGGCTGATGCTGCTGACTCAACTGAAGTTAGTACATACCTAATTTGGACCAATGTGTTTTCTGTATCAAGTTTTAAAATGGCCTTCATACTGTTACAAAGTTGACTTTATCCTTAATTATTTGCCTTAGAATTAGCTTTGAGTGCTGATTCAGTTGGAGTATTTTTGTCATCAAATTTTTTTGTTTCACAACTTGAAGACAGAAAACTTTACATGTGACTTGATTTTTATTGAACAGTTTGTTCAGTGATACACACAATTATTTTAAACGTCATAGGTGTTTAAGACTTACTCATGACACATTTAATTTTTTGTGACATTTAGAATTCTATTACATTAAAAAAGATAATCCAGTTAGAAGCTATCAAACAGGAATTGCTCCCACAAAATATTTAAAATGAGTCTTCTAAAACATTATTTTTTTTTACAGATTAATAATCAGCCCAGATATGAGGCCAACCTGTATGCCTATATCTACTTTGTTGTTTTTATTGTGTTTGGATCATTCTTTTCATTGAATCTTTTCATTGGAGTCATCATTGATAATTTTAATGTCCTCAAGAAAAGGGTAAAGTATTACATATTGGTTTTCCTTTACTTTGAATTGTTTCTTTATAATGTTATATGCATTTATATAAAGGAACTGTCAATTATTTCTGTTATTTTCATGATTATCATTCTCAATTTGAAACTATTCCCCAACTTTCTCATATCTAGTTTCTGTAATTCTTTAAACAATAAATGAGTTTTAGATGTCAAATAGATTTGAAAAATAGACCATACATCTTTTTCAAGTCAAATATCCAATAGAACATTGGTTTTATTTTAGTTTTTGTGTGTTCAAAAGATTGTTGTTATTGATGTTTTTTGTATGTTTTTAGTTACACTACTGTTCCTTTTATCAATATAGTATGAAGGTAGTTACCTGGATGCTTTCCTCACCCAAAGTCAACGTAATTACTACAACACATTAAAAAAATTTGTAAAAAGAAAACCTCAGAAGACCATAAAAAGACCACAGGTACATTTGCATATTTTTGAAAAGCAATCATTATTCTTATTTGAAGTGGTTATTTTTTAATTAATGTTTTAATATATATTTTTATAATAAAGTTTGTTTTAAAAATCTGCTATGTTTTTAGTAATCTAAATGGAGCTAATGACATTAGTAAATTGAGCTTATGTAAATAAAAGTTTTCATTTCTGGGGTCATTTTACTGAAATCTTGAGCTAATAATATAAATTTGTTTGGTTAGTTGATAAGTAAATAAAGCTATTCCAATTTGTTAAACAGTAAAAACAGAACACTTTCTATGAGCAAAGGAAGTAGACAACTTGTTTTAATGCTAGTATAGTATTTTTTTCTTCAATTGAAATCAGATATGATAAAACCACAGTTTGCTTTTTTCATGAATGGCAGTTTATTGACACAACCAACAAAATCACTTATATAGCTTAGCCAATAGACTTGTTATTTTAAACACTATTTAAATTTCAACCAATTTGATAGCTTTATGCTAGAACACTTAAATTGTATTGTTACTTTTCATTGTAATGTTGTACTTGCCAAATAAAAACAATTTTTAAAAGTTTAGAGTTATAGCATCAGGGGTCGGCGTGGTTGAGTCAGTAAAGCTCATGGTTGCTGCACCAAAAAGTCTAAAGTTCGAACCCTTGGGCAGATGAGGCTCGTTAGCTGGGGACAGCCACTCTTCTAGGAGAGACAACTCCAAAATCAAACAACTGCTGCCTTGTAGTTTGTTCTTGGTTGGACAAAGGCTATGGAAGCAAATCCAAAAAGAAAAGCAGGCTGAAATCGGAGTCAGTGGCCTCAATGAATGGCGCATAACCAGTTGACACGTATCCTTAATTGTGATGGAGGCATGGTGGAGTCAGCAAAAGCTCATGGTTGATAAATTCGAAAAAACTCTCGACTTCAAACCCTCTGGCAAATAAGGCTCTATCCCTTCCAACAGTAAAAATTAAGAACGAAGAAGAAGAAAGATAGCATCATATGTTTTCAATATTATGACATTGTTTCTGTCATAAAAATATTGATATCTTTTCATTTGTTTGTAATTCTATAGAACAAGTTTCAGCTTTACTTTTACAACTTGGCAATGAGCAGCAAATTTGAGTTGAGCATTGTTCTTCTTATTTTCTGCAACATGGTCAATATGGCTATTGAGCATTACAAGGGATCCAAAGCTATCAGTCAGGGCATGGAGATGGTCAATCTACTTTTTACTGTAGTCTTTACCCTTGAGGCTGCTGTCAAGTTAATTGGATTGCGACATCATTATTTTCGGTTTCTCTGGAATGTTTTTGACTTCTCAATAGTTGTAGTATCATTATTTGGTAAGTTAAAAAATGTTCATTCTTCATCCCATATTTGAGAATTTAAGTTGAAAATTTTTGCTCATTAAGTTAATTTATACTTGTTGCACAACCACTAATTTTCATGTTTTTCTTCTATGTAGTCACATGGGGAAAATACTTTTTACCAGCCAATTCGTACAATGGTAAATTAACTTTTTTTTGTGATGATGTTAATTTTTTTATGTCTTAGAAGTTGTGTTAATATTTTTATTTTTTGCAAATTCCAATATTAATTTTTTGTTAGGTTAATTGTTTAATTTATAACTAATTTATTTGAATAAATTTACTTATGCTGTAATTTTAATGTGTTTTGTTTTTGTTGTATCTATATTCTAGCTTTTAAAACAAATCATTTTTTTTTACACAGGAAGGCTATTTGATAGGATGATGGCAAATTTATTTGTAACACCAACACTCTTGCGAGTTATTAGAGTTTTTCGAATTGGAAGAATTTTGCGTATTATTAAAAGTGCCAAAGGAATTCGTAAACTTCTATTTGCTCTCATTATTTCACTTCCAGCTATATTCAACATTGGAGCTCTGTTATTCTTAATTATGTACATGTATGCAATCATAGGAATGTCTTTGTTTCACAATGTGAAAATTAATGGGGCCTTTACTGAAATAATTAATTTCCAAACTTTTGGGAACAGTTTTATGTTGCTCTTGCGCCTGGCCACTTCTGCTGGATGGAACGATATACTGGATGCTCTTTTAATAAGCCCACCATATTGTGATTCAGAGTTTTACTACTTGCCAGATAAAGATCTCCATATTGCAGCAAATGGTGACTGTGGCATTCCCTACTTAGCCATACCGTACATGGTCAGCTACATTGTTATAGTCTATCTGATTGTGATCAACATGTATATTGCTGTGATTCTTGAAAATTTTAGCCAAGCTCACGAGCAGGAGGAGCTGGGCATTACTGAATATGACTTTGATATGTTTTACGTCACGTGGGAGAAGTATGACCCTCTCGCAACTCAGTTCATTAGATTTGACCAACTTGCTAACTTCGTAGGGGAGCTTGAGGCACCTCTGCAGCTCCCAAAACCAAATGAAATTGCTTTGGTTTCTTTTAATATTCCTATCATGGAAGGGGAGAAAATGCATTGCTTGGATATTTTAATTGCCCTTGTAAAAAATGTTTTAAATGATGTTGAAGATTCTGAAGAACTGAAGATATTAAAGGAGCAAATGGAAGCAAAGTTTGCTGAACATTTCCCTGTAAGGGTTAACATCACTGTTAAATCTAGCACGCTGCAACGGAAAAAAGAAGATGTCGCTGCTAGAACATTGCAACGGGCTTGGAGAAGCTACAAAGCCCACAAAGCAATGAGGAACATCACCGCCTTAGCAGTTCAACTCAAAATACGAAAATCAAGCAACGCTGGGATACGCACACGTAGTGAAGCAATACGCAATTTGGATACTAAACTAAATGAAGCCCTCACATATTATTTCAAAAACAGATCCAACCTAAACATTCCAACGTACTCACTGGAGATGAATATATCTGATAATGCTGGCAACTCAAGCGAAACTGGTAAAAATTCTAATGTTAATGAAAATTTAAGTGAAGAACACAGCAGTAAAATTGATTTATGACCTGCTCACACTTAAAAATAATCTCCCTCTGTAATGACTTTGCCAATCACTTTCACTGTCAATTAAGTACACCAATGATGTATGCTCATCCCTGCCAACTACTTCTACCAATAAACAATGTAAGAACCCATCCCTGCCAATAGGGCTGGTAAGTAGGTCACCAACCAGTTCTATGGCTCAATAAACACTGAAAGAGTCATAGAACTGGTTGGTGACCTACTTACCAGCCCTATTGCTTCCACCACAAAAACATTGTATCTGGTTTGAATGTATAAGGTTCAGATCCATGCTGTTATAAGCAGCTTATTTAATTAAGATTTGTATAGATTCATTTTTTAAAGTACCAGTGTGTGTCAAAAGTGCAAACAATGTATATTTATTATGTTTTGCTTAATTAAGACTACAAATAATTGCTGTTTTAAAAATTAAGTTTTTATACAATTTTAGTTTTCCAGTATATTGAAATGTATGGAGAAAATTCTTGCTGGTCAAATTTTTTAGCAATCTTTCTTGTTTTGTTTTTTTAAATTTATCTTGTGATAATGTTGGTAGTATATTTTGTTTGCCATATAAAAATATTTTTTTAAATATTGAAAGAACTGGCAAAGATGATCATCACAGAATTATTAACCATTGTTTGAATATAATTGTCTTCTGATCTTAGTTTTATATCAACTTAAAAGATATTATTTTTCCTAATCTGAATTTTCTTTATTTTATATAATTTTTCAAACACTGTATATATATCATTGAATACATTAGTATTAAATTGTTTTGGAGGTAAATGTTTAGATTTTAATTTAAGCATCATTCAATATTACAAAATGGAATGGGTAAGACTATTGTATTAATTAAAAAGCCACCATCAAGCCTGGCAGCCTCAAGTATTTTGAGTTGGCCATTGCACATTTATTATTGTCATTTTTAATGTCTTTGTTGTAAAATAAACGTGCCATTCCTCATTCAGGGCTGTATTCTTTTTATTTGGTAAAATTTCAGAAAACAATATTTGTTTCTTGCAATTTTTTATAAACATTGTTAGCCATGAAGCAGAATGCTGAAAATGAAACATTACAATTGCATAAAACTGAAAATGTTTTTACAAAAGAAACTAATTTATTGCTTAGCTTTTATACTTCTAATAAAAGATTTGACTGCATGTAGGATAAATTAGTACTGTAGACTTTGCATTCTGCGAAGTCAAGAATTAATAGCAATGAACAATGAATCATGCTACTTAACATATTTTAATATGAAGCTCACTCTAAGTACTATATGTTAATGGCCAACACTCATAATAAAAGCAGCAGGGAAAATGGGATGAAAACAAGTTGTACTTGTACACAAATGGAATGGCACAAAAGGAAAGGGTTAATAATAAGCAACAGTAATCAGTAAACATTAGAAATTAACCATTCACTCATACGACTCAAAAAATTCTATTTTGTTATTGAGCAAATGCAAAGAAAAAAGTTTAATAATTCATGAATGTAAATAGCAACGCATCATAAAAGTAATAATTTCATCATCAATCCTTATGCACACATAACCTCTTTCTCTATATTATTAGCTTTTTAAATTTCAAAGTCATACTTTTACTTTTTTTAAAAAGCAAAGCAAAATGAAGAAGGTGCGCAAAATACTTAAACAATGCCTTACAAATGAATTTAAAAAATTAAAAAAAAACCATTGCACACAGTTCAATAGAAATATTACAGAAATCCACAAATGAGAATAAGATATCACAAAAGCCTCACTAAATAAAACAATGTAATTATATAATTACTATTTTAATTTAAAGGAAAATTTCTTATATATATATATATATATATATATATATATAAACAAGAAACCTCCAAGGATTTGTTAGCAAAGCAATACAAAAATTATTGGCGAAAATCTGAATTAAAACTATGGTTAAATTATAAGTTACTTATACTATTGAATGGGAGGCAATGTAATTTTCATACAAAATATCTACAGCAAAACTAAATACAAAAACCACATAACTTATGGGCAAACTGCTCCAAATACTTTGAATGAAGTTTTGACATTTTCTTTATAATAAACAATCATGTCTATTTCCTTCTTTGTGAAAATCTATTTACAGCTCAAATCTATCTATTCTTCTAAAACATTAGGTTGGGGAAACCCAGTATGAAATCCCTTGTGGGTGTTGATACTGAGATGCTTGAGGAGGTGGAGGCTGTTGAGTCTGGTGAAACAAATGAGCTGGAATGGACTGTGGATGAGCAGGTTGCATACCTGCAAAGTGCGTCTGATAGTGTGGGGATGGTGAAGGTGGTAGCCCTATAGTGTAGGAAGGTGGTGGTGGTGGAGGCACTGAGATGTGCTGTGGTTCTGGTAATCTCTGAATATGCTGTGCCATTGCCTGATTCTGCATGGTGAACTGTGTTGTTGTTGGCAAGGAATAAGAAACTGGAGGTGGGGGAGCAGCTGTTGATATAGCTACAGAATACTGGGGAAAGTGTTGGGTGTTTGACACTATGACAGCTGATCCTGGAGGAAGGAGGTGTTCTCCTGGCTGACTAGCCTGAGAAACAGTTATATGCTCAAAAGCTTGATGAAAATGTGGCGGCGGTTGTTGAAGTTGCTGAGCACCAATATCAAACTCATAGATCTCCTGAGTTTGGCCAGGATGAGAAACTGGGACATGTGTATGAACATGCTCTGGGTGGCCTGGTGGGGGGCCTGTTATTGCCCCATTTGGGTGTTCTAAGTGCATGGTTTGTTGAGCTGGATGCTCTATCAGAACTTGCCTAGGTGGTGGTCCTGTTAAAGCGTGTTCAATGTGTATCTGTCCAGGTGCAGTCAATCTGTGATGTGTTATATGTACAGGTGTCCCTGGTACACCTGGGTGTTCAATGACAATCTGGTTCGGTGGTCCCTCTGGTCTAGGACCTTCAATATGTAAATGTTGGTGGGCTATATTAACCTGGGGTGGAAAATTAGGGTCAGATTGTTGCAACAGATGATGACCTGGGGGAAGACCATTAGGGATTTGAGGACCGATGGATCTATGCTGGAGTGAAACACCTGATTCTTGTGACGTGGGGGGTAGATTGGGATCAGAAGGCATACTTGGATATCGCAATGGCTGACCCTGGTACTGGGGAGATGCAGGGTGCCTCTTGTCTTCTAGTTCTTCTTGAGATTCTAATTTCCCCTCACTTGGCTCTGTGCCTTCTTTTTCCAGTTCTTGTTGGGCTGAGTTATGTTTATTTTTGAGTATGCCTAAATTGAGAAAATCAACAATATTTCAAAATTATAAATTTATTTTACATGAAGATGGAGTCAATGAAAAACAAAAAGAACACCCTTTGTTTAACACAAATAATTCTGAACAACTTTTTAAGATTGAAATATTTAGTATACCCTGACATGAAAAAAAAACAACCACTAGTGTCTATGACCTACATAATTTAAGTATTAAAGGGTTTATTTTTATTATAAGAAGCTAAACATACCTCTGATTTTCTTTTTAGATGTCTCTGAAGGTGAAGGACTTACTCTCCGTTTTGAACCAGAACCTTTTAAAAAGTGTAACAAATACATAAACATGTTAGACATTGTATAACATAAATAAAATAAAAAGTATTATATCAAACAAATGTATTACCCCAAGGCACATCAGCTGATTTGGGAGGAGGCATTGTTCCTTCACCAGCCTGGGATGTGACAGCTGGTGGTGGGGGTGGGGGCATAAGAGCTGTAGAACACTGGGAAGAGCCTTGGCTTGGAGGTCTAGAATTACAAAAATGTAAATTATTAAATTAACTGCAACAAATCAAGTACACCCAAGCTAAAAAAAAAAAATTTCAATAATTATATATTAAATATATATTTTAAACTTTTCAACAGTAATAAAATTGTACAACTAAACCAATCAGACACCATTGAAAAGTTATGTTTTAATTATGAATTAATTATGTAAAATACCTGTTTTCTAAGCTGGGTGATCTAGGCAACTGCTGTGTTGGTGACAGGGAAGGTGGGGGAGGCCCAGTCATAAAATGGGGAGGGGGCAGTCCAGTGTGATAAGGGTGTGCAAGTATCTGCTGCCCCTCTGGTGGAGGCTGAAACAGCTGGGGAGATGACTGGATTATTGTCTGACCAAGATGAGCAAACTGGTTCTGATCTGGTGGGATATGACTTAATTGTATCAGCCCATGATGGGATGTCTGTATCAGCTGTGCACCTTGTGACATTTGAGAGTGCAGAGAATGAGGAGGTGGACTTGATCTCACAAGATTGACTAGATGAGGTGGACCATGCTGAAATTAAAGATTTGAATGAATATAAATTTTTTTAAATAATTGTAAATTAAATTGCAAGTTTTGAAGAAGAAAAAGTACTGGGTGATTAACTTGTTTAAGAACGAGAAGCAAAGTAAAATGTAAACAAACCTGGTATCCCAAAAGATTTTCTGGAATTTTATCATCCTTCTCTTCTGTGAACCGACGCTTTGGCTCTTCTTCCTCCAGTCTAGGGGTGGTATAATAGGTGGGACCACTAGAAGCCATAGTGTACACCAATGAAGTAGGTGCAGACATTGAGATAGAATGGCCAGGGGGGACATTAATTGGAGTCTGTGTAATAGATATTAAGATTATATTACTCATGGTCTAAACTGTATGACTATATATTTAATGCAATTCTTAAAGACAATTTTTTAAAGCAATGGGGTAATTTAAATACAAAAGAAACAATGAACCTGTTGTGCCAAGATATGCTGAGTAGGCTGAGTCAGCATTGGAGGTCCAGCTTGCTGTACTATAGCATGTGAGGCAATAGAAACTGGCTGTGAAACAAGGTGCATGGGAGGCTGAACATGGCTGTAAACCCCATAGTGGGATGGCAAAGCTTGTGGAGCTGGAGAGGGTGCAGGGACTATTTGCTGAAGTCCTACTTGGGCTAATGCTTGAGGTGTGCCGGGTGGAGGTTGACTTAGTATCATTTGTTGTTGAGCTCCTAGATCCAAATGGGCTGGGGAAAATTTTAAAATATGCACTTGTTAAAACAAGGAACAGCATAGTTGAATGATAGATCATAGGACTGCTAACTTGAAAGTCAAGTTCAGTTTGCGGGCTCAAGTCAATTGCACATCCCCACACTGTAATGAGTACCTGATTCAGGTTAGAAAAGTAAAGCCAGCTGGGCATAGTGCTATTCCTTCATAAACAATGGTCACTAAAACAAATGAACTTGACTTTACTTGCCCCATGGACCAGTCAAGTTAAAACTGGTACTTAACTATTTTTCAATTATTAAAACACACATCATCTCCATAAAATGAAAAAAGTATTTGCTTTAATTCTAACTATACATACTTGGTTGTTGAGGTAACATAGAAGCTGCAGATGCTTGCATAGTGTTTAGTATTGGCATAGAAGTCAGACTTAAGCTTGAAGGGATCATCAAAGTCTGTGCTGTGTTAGTTAACCCTTGAAAATGTTCAATTGACTTTAGTTAACAAACCAGTTAAAGTTTTTATATTAATAAAATGTATTAAATGGTAAAATTAAAATTTTAAGCAAAGAATTTAATAATTTTGTGTGTTTTACCTTGTGGCATTTGAGACAACTGACTAGCCACTGATCCTGGTGGCATTAACATGGTTGGTGGCCCAAGTTGTTGTACTGTGTAATAATTAGTATATTAACAATTTTATACTGTAAACTAGTTCTATTGACTAGAAAAGACATCAAATTAATTACATTGTTACCATCATAATACCTATAAGTCGCAAACCTTTAATAGTGTAGAGGGAAAATAGAGCTAATTAAGGAACTAACTAAAGTAATGAAAAAAGACATGGTTTAAAAAAAGGCTAACCTTGAGGTTGTAATGCTTGTATGGTTTGTTCTGTCATAGTAATGGTGGCTAGACCAGGCCCAGGATGCCCAATCTGTGCCTCAACAAAAGTTGGAGCTGTGAAATATTAATGAATAACATAAAATCAATCATGATAAATCCACCCTGTTAAAGAAAAAGTTATAATAAACAGCCTACAAAAAGGATAAAATTGCCTAAATTATTTCTGAATGATTGACTTCCATTCACTGAACGCATTGGTGCTCCTGAAAAAGAAATACAGGTTAAATGATGAAACAAATTCTAAGAATAATGAAAGTCAATTTTCAAACTATGTTTAGAATAATCAGTCTTATTTACTCAATTTGGTAAACTTCTAACTCAAAATCAAGGTAAAATGCACTATTACATCCCTAACTTTAAAACCACAAATCAAGCTTTTAAAGAAAAATGTGTCATTAGCGCCATAAATGTTGGAAATGGGGGCTGGAATAACTCAACCACTGTGGAGTTCTGAAGTTCAGATGGATTATTATTTTTTTCATATAGCATTGTTATGATTTTTTATCAGCACAAACATGCAAGTTGTTAAAATAAGGTATCTTAAAACATGCAATCCTTTTAAAGGAATTTCTTTTTTTCTCGTTACCATTATAGAGCCAAAATAATTTTAACCGTTAGAAAATAGTATGAGAGTGAGAGCACATCAGAAATGCTTTAAACATAAATTATGGTTTTCTTATAAAAGCCTGAGGAATTTTAAGAAAAACTGAGTACACAATAGCTCAACACTAATATTTGTTATGTTGAAATGCAGCTAATGCTAAGTACAGCATTGGATCTACTATGAAAAAGTTGTGTATTAATGAAAGCTAGAGATATTTATCCAATTAGAGCTGAAGTAACTGGAAAAGGAGCCTAGACAATAGAAAAATAATTAGAATTACATCTAGACAGAATATATGTCATAGCAAACTAGATGAGAGCACAAAAAGAAAGTCTGCCAAAGTTACAATATTCAATGGGTCAACTCCACTTGAACGGTTCCTTTCTTAAATCTGCATATTAAAATTTGCATTATTTTTTTTTTATTTTAAGGAATTAAATAAAACTGGAATGTTTCAAAAGAAAGTTAAAAAATCTTTCACACCAATTATTTGAACTCACAACATTTGATGTTGACTTGAGACTCTAAAAGAACAAATTTATAGAACAAATTTTTAATAATGTATGCAAGCCTGTAGCCTTCAGTTTGTTCTTGTAAATGAGAGAAGGTTGTTCGGCCCGCAGACATCTATATAGGAGATGTGTATCAGTATCGTGACAACAACAATGTCCCGGCACCTTCTTTATCTCCATGGATGAACAGATACATAGAGAAACAAATAAGCCAAGATGGCACCATAGAAGAAAATGTAAACACTTCTTATTGCTGTGTTGGTTATGAAGAAAGTATGAAAAATTATTACACCCTGAAGTGGAATCATACCTTATTAAAAACATTTGGAATTGAAACATTAAATCAAAAAACCTCATTCATAAGCAAACATTGAATTGAAAAATTGAAGGGAGGACACTAGCTAACAGTATGTAATAAATAAATATCTAACTTCAGTACATGCATAATGCACTAGAGGATAACCATGGATTCTTCAATCTCTATCCTTGGATAATTTCTTAAATTTAGAACAAGAATCTAATTTCTGCAAGACCTGTAAAAACTTAAAAACCAAGGAAAATAAAAACAAAGTGAACTGTTTCAGCCATTTTTTTAGGATAGCATAATAGCAATATACTCAGATACTAAATATGTTACCTGTAAAGAAAGAGTTATTTAAGTTTTGAAGCAATTACATTTATTATTTGTTGACAGTTAACATTTAAAAGAAAAATGAGTTTCCACCAAAAAAGTAGTTTATATTTTCATATTTATAATAAAGGAAAATGTTACTTAATTTATTTTTCAGTGCTGTTTATTGCAACATGCCATCAAAATAATTTAAATAAACTTGTCTCTGATTTTTTTTAAAAACTATTAAGTTAAAAAATTAATTTAAAAAAAAACTTTGTAAACACAAAAAAAAAACAGTAAATCACAGTCAACATAAACAAACAGAAAATGAATTACAACAGACATAAGAAACAATTTGTTGAGCAAAATGGACAAAGATTGACTCCATGTGAGAGCTGTTTGATGAGTGATACGACTTCAAACCTGGTGTACAGAATTAAAATTTTGGCTTTTTAACAGCCAAAAAAATTAGTGCAGACTTACGCTGCTGGGGTACTCCTGTTATGAGCCCTGTGGGGACTGATGCTGGAAGTGCAGCTAGAGCCTGCTGGAAACTGACATACGATTGTTGCACCTATAGAGAAATAATCAAGTAAACATGGCATGGTTAATTATGGAGTGCAGCCTCTAGAGGAGACTGCGACATCCATGCTAAGTAATGATGGGTTGGACAAAGAGGATAAAACTGTTTCAAATATTAGAGAGGAAATAATGCATGTCCAATAGTTTACTGCATACACGTCTGTCAGTGTCACAGCAGGGTGCTGGAGAATTGCAATAAAAATTGTTTTCTTCTCTCGCTTTTGAGCAAAAGCAAATGAACAATAAATCACTTTTAAACATGCCATTTAATCTGTGACCCTGGCAGACATGACAGCATCCACAGCTTGCAAAGTCAATACCGGGTGTCCATATCTAACACTCTGATGTTGGATAAACAGTAGTGTTAAATCATGCAAATGTAGAAAATTAAAATAGGTGATAGTGGTTTTTCATGGTAAAATATAAATATCTTAAAAATGTAATCAACAGCAACTTCTTAAGCTTATTAGTTCTGTTTATATTTTTTATTATAAAAAATTAATAATGGATCTTTTCTTCTCAAACTATATTAGGCAATTTTACTAATTTATATCATTTAGCAAATTTTCATGTATAAAAAAAAATAACATCCAAATGGAATATTAAAACATGTAACAATACTTTTCAAATCATAAGGGTTGGCTGCTTAGCAATGAAAAGAAATTGCTGTTGTCACCTTTTACCTGTTGAGTTTACTATCAAAGTAATAAAGTATGTTATAAAAATATTTTAAAGCAGGCTGTGGATAGGGTCAAGTTATTTTCTCAAGAGATTTTTTTTCACAACCAGTAAAAACAAGTTTTGGGATACTTAATTGATTAAACCAGGGCTCTGCTAGAAGGTGAACTGTAATTAGAATAAAACATACATTAAAGTACAAATTACAACTGAGTTGTAAAGAGAAAATAATTATAGGTAAATATTTTTCTGTATATGGTCCTGTCCGTTTCATCTTTACCTGAATACAAATTGTTATGGCAATGTTATCTGCAATTTAAACAACATTACAGTTAAAGAAAAAAAACATTGGCCATACACAGGCCATCACCTTTACAAATGTTTTGAATTTGTAAAACTTTCCCACTATTATTTAAGCCTAAAAATGTAACTGATATCTGTAAAGCCAAAGAGTCCTAGTTTAAAAAATGTAACTGAAATTAAACTTAAACATAGCTTAATGGGATTAAAACACTGAGTTAATAGACAAGAATGTTTAAACACTATGTTAATCACTTACTGTTTGTATCAAATTTTCAGCCAACTTTTTAGCCTCTTGTAATGCAACATAAGAGTGGTGCCTATTATAAATGGGGAAAAAATTATATCAACTTTTTGTGTGTATAGAAATAGGTCATGCATACTATTTTTAATTGAATATTCTATTTACTTACTCAAGATGGACATGCATAGGTTCAATGGAATCCATTCCATTCATTCCACCAAATCCAGATCCTTTACCCCTAAGACTGACAGCTGCTCCAGTTTCTGACTGAATATGCATAAGATAGCTCCCCTAAAAAATTATAAACAGTGTAAAATTATAAAAAAGATAACCTAAAGGTTTATCATAGCAGATATGTAATATATTGTATTGTAACTATAATTCTAACACTATAATTCTAACCGTTTACTGTTTGTTAAAAAATGTAATAATAAAACATTCAAACAAATAAACTAACAATGCATTTAAAAGCTAGGCTCATTATTATTTTAAACTAACTTGAAATTCGACAGTTAGTCAGCTATACTACCTTGCAAGGTTAATACATATATTAAAGGCATGAAAACAACATTAAAAGTTTTGTTGAACTTCCAGGAAACTTACTCCAGGGCCTAATAACTTGTTCTTAGTATCAAAATTTGGTGGTGCATGTTCAAGCCCTATATATAAATTTTCTTGCAAGACTGTTATCTTTGAAGAAGAAAAAAAAGTTGTTTTGGATTTGGTATAAACAAGCATATTAAACCAGTTCAAATAAAACAAAATTCAATCTTTTTATTTAAACAATCAAAACTTTGCACTTAAAAATACTCATTAATTATTTAGAAATGTATCATATTCTAAAAATTCCTTACTTGCTGAGGTGGGGGATGTGAGTGGGGTACAAGTTGAACTTGAGGTGGTGGTGGTGTAGGCAATGACATTAAAGGGGGCGGAGGTTGGCCCCTAAAACTAAATCGATTATTATTTGCATTTGGTCTGAATGGCTGTCTCATCCTCCCACCACGATTATGGTTGGCACCTCTGACTTTTGCCTCAGACTTGCTCCCACACATGCTTCGAATTATTTCATTGATTTTTTGCACAGCAACTAAAATTTGTAAATTGAGGCACATTTTTTTTCACAATCAGCTATTAAAATAATTTTACAAAACTAACATTTTACATAGATTCATTAGCAAATACACATGCAAAGAGTTTAGAGGGAATTCTGCACATATTTTCCCTAACATTTTCTTAATTTTTTGGAGGGGTTATCCATTTATGACATCCAGAAAATGTTATTTCTATAATGTATGTAACTTACTGTCAACCGATTCTTTGGACGCTGCCTGAACATTCAGGTATAAACAGCGATCACTGAAAAGATAACATTTTGAAAATCAGTAAAACAAAACCAGAAGAAAATCAAAAGCTTAATTAGTATAAAATGTAACAATGAGCCTACCTTGGGCTTCTGGCCTTTTCATCAGGTGCCATAAATCTTCCCCTTGTTGTGACAGCTGCACCGCTGGCCTTAGAAATCTATTAAAAGATTGTCAAAGAAAATATGTAAAAAAACCAAACATGTTTGGACTAATGTATGATACTGAAATTATAGGGCATACTTATTGAAACAAGTCTTATATTACTGAGATATAGAATTCAGAATATACTAAAAACCTCTTCTTGTGTAGTTCCTCTAGTCAATGTATTTCGACAAGGGGTTGTTAAATTGTTTATTTCCACCTCTGCCACCACTAAGCTATTCGGACCTCCAGCCTGTAAAGTTAAAAAATTTATGATCAAAATCATTATATTATAGGGATATTAAATCTTGCAAATGGTGATGTCAACAGGTAAGCTTTCGACTGAAACCTCAGGGCCATAGGAAAGCGGGTCTAAACACTTGTGGAGGAATGTGGAAGTAGAAGCAAAGGCTGTACGGCTTACACGGGCTCACTAAAGAGAGCTGCCCAAAATAGAGGGATGGACAGGTGCAGCTGCAGCCATTTACTCTTAAGAGGCTTCACAGGATTTAAGTTCAACATAATTATATAAATAACAGTTTAGAAACATTCTTGACCTTTTTAGTAATGACATTCGTGGCTGCATGAATTTGATTTGGTTTCAACATTCCTTTAGCTATTAGCATAGCATTTACTTTAGCTGCAGCTTCTGCAGCAGCTTCTAAACTACTTCTGTCTTCTGGATCTTCATGACCAAACATGATTCCATGACTGTCATACATATCCCTAAAAAAATAAAGTAACAAAGTGTGATCATGTGATTTTGATTATTAGCAGTCATTAGCTGTACCTATATATTTGTATGGGGCTAGCTGGTATTGGCATTACAATTACGACTTAATTTGAGGTTTAAAATACTGGCTACTAATTACAAGTGAAATTTGACACTTAAATTAATTGTATCGCACTAATTTATTGGCCGACCATTGTTATTGCAGTGGCAGCATTTTATACTATAAATAAATAGCATTAAAGTTAAAGTATTCTATAGAAAAAATCTGGTGTCCAGACATCATAAAAACTATTAAAAAAGGCTTGATAACTTTGAGCTGAAGAAGGAATCAGGAGGGTATGTATTATGTATGTACGTACATCATAGGGCACAAGCTGCCTACCACCAAGCTAAAAAAATTGTGGGGGATTTTTCAAACCATGCTGTAATGATTACAGTTACACAGTATTCCCCTATTACCAGTGTCCGATTATAAAATCCTAGACTATTTCTAGTGTACAGTGTCCTGAATAGGGTGTGGGGAAATTGCGAGACGCGAAAAGCGAAATGGCGAGGCGGGAAAACGCGAGAAGGGCGCGAAAACGGTCGGTCACGTGACTTTTTTGTCTCGCATTTTACCACAAGCCGATACTTACGCTGGGTGGTGTTGAAATGCGAAGATTTCTGCGAAAAATTTACCGCACCCGATTTTCAGTGGTATTTGGTCCAGACTTCAAACACGTTTTCTTTACATTGTTAAAACTTTCGATTTTTCCGTCGCTAGACATACTGATGATTTGTCAACTCCCCCCATCTTTTGTGTCGACTTAGAATACCACCTTGTTCGAAACCGACGGTAATACCGCCGACGATAGATCAACTTCTGTCTTTTGTGTGGAACGCCGAGGCCGCCTGATTTACCGTCTTTGAAGATCGCCGTGCCCGGATCCGCTGCCGCCGCAAACATATTTTCTATTGTTGCATAGAAATTTTGTATTATAGCCGCCGCCTGCGATTTTTTTCTAGTTTTTTTTTTACCATATAAATCTAAGCACAAGGAAATGCCTACATCATTTGGATACAACAAAATAAAGTGACGTCACCGATGTTATCAGTTGCTCGTGCTATATCGTAAGCTATGGGCCTACTTCAAATATTTTTAAAACCAAGTTGAACTTATCTGAATTTTTTGGGGTCTTCCATAAATGACGTCACACTCGTAGGGGGGGGGGTTTGTAATTTTATGACGATGTGTGATGAGGGGGAGGGGGGGGGGTTAGATGTGAAGTCACACTATAAAAAAGCAATGTTAGAAAAAGAATTTTAGACGTTTTTTCGCGTTTTAGAAAACTGTTTTAATACATTGTAATAGGAATTGATTAAAATACTCTATTTTGACCGAAATTAGACAAGATTTTGAGAAAATATCGATGTTTTAAAAAAACTCAACTGCTGGTGACAACAATGAGCAAGACATTGCCAAAATTACAGAAATTATAAAAAATACAAATTATAAAAAACGGAAAACAGATGTTGAGCGTGCGGATGATGATGATAAGAACATGGGTGCCAGTGTTGTTTGTGGGATGAACGAGGAGGTCAACTGTGATGAGAATGTGAAATGTTGTGAATGTGGATTGGAAGAAGTAGCAAAAGAAAAATGTATAAATGGGAGTCTAATGAACTGGGTTGGGTGTACTATGTGTGAAAGATGGTGTCACGAGGTGTGTTTGAGGACTGTTTCAGAATATTATGTTTGTAAATTTTGTTTGTAATTAAAATTACTTAATAAAAAAATAAATTGCACTTTTTTAAGTTTTTAGAATTGTTTATACTTTTACACTTTTTGCAAGTACAAAAATCCATAAATAGATGTTGCAGAATATCTCTCCTGCTGACAAGATTATACCAATTCACAATGACACAGCTCACGTTTGTATAAACATGAGCAGGCTAGATTTTTAAATTTATGCCGACTGAGACGGGATTTTCCTCTCGCTAACGAGAGCGGGCGATGACAGTAGCACAGCAACGATGTTAGGATCTTTTAATAGATAGATCTACATATAGATCTATCTATCTTCTTAGTATCTAGATAAAAAATAACAACATACAACACTCGTGTTAAAGGGTATGGCTAAATGCTTGTTTATTTTAAAACAAAAAAAAATAATTTAAATAAATAAAGATGGAAAAAAAAAGGAAAAAACTTTTTTCGCAAAAAGTGTCTCGCTATTTACCCTTAATTCCGCAGGTATGTCTCGCATTACCTTCTCGCATTTTCCCGCCTCGCCATTTCGCTTTTCGCGTCTCCCAATTTCCCCACACCCTCCTGAATAGTTAAAAAAAATATTGGTAGACTAGATCTAGATCCTAGCTGCTATGAGTATGGTGAACTGGGAAAGGCTTAGTGTAGACTTAGAATGGCTTGGCTTAGTTATCGGCTTAGATCTAGATGAATCTAGATCTAGATTTCTAGATCTAGAGTACGTTTACTCGTCTTTGTTGTAACCAAGTTGTAAGAAAAGCTTTTCACATTGAGCCTAAATCTAAAACAATTACCGCTATCATTTGCTCTAAATGATTTAAAAATGGACGTCGCAAACAGATAAAAAAAGAACAATATATTTTAGTCTAACATGTGTTTTAGATAGGTTCTAATAACGACTTTAAAATAGAGATGAGATTTTTTTAAATACATGTCTATTCTCAGTAATCTGCCAACGACGCCATATTCTGCTCAGACAGAGCTATTTTTAACCTAGTCCGTCAGAACGCAGGAGCCAGAGTTTTAACACATAGGCTACTTGCGCTAGCCTAGCCTCATGGGTATAATATAAATTCTACAATACCTTATATTTTAGATAATTTTAGTGTTTGAATTGTTTATGCATTCATGAGGTTGATATTCATTTAACAATTAAAACCGTATTTAAAGTAAAATACGCTTATAAAGTTACGAATACTTTTCAAACGTATCTTTTTAGAGAGAATATTTTTTAAAAATATTTTGTATTTATTGATTATTAAGACGAAGCTCAATTAGGCATGATAGATCTGCCAAAATGGCTGCGCCCATGTAGAGTTGACTTCCAAACTAGTAAATGTCAATCAATAATAAAATGAATAAGCTAGATTAGTAGATTGGCCCCTCAAGAAAAAATTTTAGGGAAAGAAATATACCATTTTCCCCGTTTTCTAGGTTTAATTAAATTAATTTTAACTGCCTGAATTTTAGAGACTTAACCTCTTCTAATCAAGAACAAGCTAGATTCTAGATTCTTTTTTTGGTAATCTATCGCTTTAGATTTTTACGCAAAATCACCCGCGACTAGTAATGTGAAAAACAGGTGACTCCTTAAATTTTAATAATTATTTCACATTTATAGGAGGATTTTAGCTTTGAAATTTACAAAAATGTTTCATTTATGTACTTGTTTTTAAACAATTGAATTAGGCCCTAAAACTTTTCAGTAATAGCAATAAATGTCTTAAATGAAGACTAGCGATGTTTCCAACAGATGCAACCATGCTCATTTACTATAGCAGGCATCTTGTTTAAGTTGTTTTTTTTGTAAACTAATAGTGCGAGCTAGGCAGGAGCCTATAGGTGTGCAAATAAGAAAGAGGAAGTGGCGCTGGGTGGGTCACACACTGTGAAAGGCTCACCCAAGGCCAAATGTTACACGCCAATGGAACACCCAGGGAAAGCGGAAGAGAGGGCGCCCAAGACAGTCCTGGAGGCGGAGTCTTGTTGAAGAACTGAAGCCAACAGGGATGTCTTGGGAGATGGCAAAATCAATAGCCGGGGATCGGAAGAAATGGTGGAGGCCCTATGTAAAGAGGACTAAGTCAAGTCAATAGCACGAGATTCAGGGGAAGCCACTCTATTTTACAAATGGCTGCTGTTTATATAGCAAATCTTGCTCACAAACACTGCTGTTAAAAGTTCATTTCTGGCCTATGTTGATATATTTAGCCATTGATTTAGGTTTATTATTCATTTATCTATAATATTTGACACAAATATATCACAATATACTTCTATTAAAGCCTTGACAATGAGGTAACTTTTTCGTACATTACTAGCCGTGGGCGATTTTACGTACCTAAAACGATAGATTACCGTTTTTTTTAATTGTGTAAAGTGTAAATTACTTTTAAAATTAGGATTACAGAAAATACTAAAACATCAAATACATTCACTCTTTATAAAGTCTGACTAAAACTAGTCATGAGTTTATAACTATATTAATTTTAATTACACTGTGCATGATTTAAAAAATATTTAATGAATTTTAATGGGCCTCCCGAATAATTTCTAGACTTTTCTCAGTAGGGTCCATTAGGTTACTGATTACTATTAGCCGCTAATTAGCCTCAAGGCAGGGGGCTTGTAATTTTAATATTAATAATAAGTACAAAAGTATTATAGTATAGTAGTCCATCTAGAGGCCTACTTAGCCTACTTATCAAAATATTTTTAAATGATAGTAAAAAAAGGCTTTATTAGGCCTAATTATTAATTTATTAATAATATTAAAATATCGAATAGGCCTATTTATATTATTCTTAATCTTGTGGGGCCTGATTATTATTTTCATTATAATTACTATTGTTCAAAGTAATTGACAACAACCCTTAATTAACATTTAACACCATATGTATTTTTATTATGTTGACCAAAAATGCAGCAAGTCTTTAGAAATTTTAACACTTTATCATTTTGAAAACATGCTTCTCATTAAGTTACCTAACTTTATTTTATTATTTCATTTAATTTTAGCTTAATTAACTTACTAAAAACAAACAATGAGTCAAGCAGACCACACAGATGTACAAGGTCAGAGTAAAATGTCAACTAAAGAAAATTCAGCAACTGCTGTAGATAAATCAATTAAAGAAAGAGTTCAACAAACTAAACCGACAACAACTGGATGGGGTAGTCTACCGTCAACATCAGTCTTTAGAGCTGTCAATTTTGAACTTTTTGTTAAACCAGTATGTATTTTGGATTACTTTAAAAATGGTTATTTATATTAAAGTCTTCTAAAACAATCTAAGCTTATACGTCTGCACACTTTATTATGAGGTAGACCCTAATTTCCTTGAAATAACATACTAACAAAATTTTTAATTTGAAAGAAATTTGATAGTACTATTAGTGGAGTTATTAATGCTGATCAAAATGACTGATGAATCTCTTTGATTTTATCATAAACTACCATATCCGTTGTGCATGTTACATGCCTTAAGTTATTTAGGTGTAACACAGGCCGACACTACCCATAACATTGAATCTTAAATGTTTGGGCACAGGCTTGTTCACACTACCACCCAGATTATCCTCAGCGTGCTGTATGAACCTTAGTGTCTACCTTAATCACCCTCCGTAATAGTGAGGTAGAACACACTTCAGTGTTCGGTGCATCGCGCTTATGAGCCACTGGTTCCACTGCCACAGATTCTATTTAATCAAAGATTATAGCATCCCACTGTATCCATAGTAGGTACCATAGTGCCCACAGGTGAACTCAGGATGCCTGCTGACATATTTTTATTTATTTATTTATATATAGAGAGAGATAAATAATGTTGTGGTATTTTAAGAGAAAGTAGGTGTAGTACCAGTGACTTACCTTTTTATGATATTTTAAATAATTTTTTTAATTGAAATAATGGTAAAGGTGTGGGTTTATTTTTACGCTTTTCTAGGTTTGATATTACTTTTATTAATTATTTGTAAATAATAATTTGACTAAAAGATAATAAACTAAGATTATTTACTTATTTCCATTTAGTTTTATTATTTTTTTAAATAAAAATATTGTAAAATCATTATCTTTTTATTTTAAAGTGTGGTGGTTGTAAAATAAATGCATCATCAGTTCATTTTGCTATCTGGAGAGTAAAAATGTTTACATTGTCCAGACAGGGGTTTAACAACAGCATAATTGTTTCCAGCACAAACTTACCACCTTATAATGAAAGTATGTAAAATGTAAAACAAGTTGTAACCACTGGAGTAAATGTTGGTAATTCTTAATGACATGTTTTCATTCTACAGAATAAACTCGTAATGGCCTGTGGAGTATTGGCTTTTTCCAGTTGTGTAGCTTACATAGCTTATATGAACTTGACAGATGACAATAAAAAGGGAACATACGTAACCCTGGATTCAGATGGAGGATTAACTGTTCGACAAAAAACATCTCGCTGGAATTAGTTAATGTTGTTCTAACTATTCTGTTACTCAATTTAAATTGAACAAAGGCTTTCACTAAATTATCTGACATGAATAAAAATATGATAAATTAGATTTGGTACTATAAATTGCAGCAAAATACACTATTGTCACTTAATTAAAATTACACATTCTGAATCAAAGCAGCTGTACATGCAGTTCATTTAGTATTTTATACATAATTTCCAAATATTTATCAATCTTTATAAGTGTAGGGCAATTTTTGTAAGTTCTTTTTAATACTTAGTTAATACTTTATGTATAGCTGACAACTACTGTTTTTGTAATTCTAGCCATCAAAACTTTCCAGAAGAATCCTATTTGTTTTATAATTTAATGATATACTAAATTGTTTGGCAGTTTTCTTTTTCAAGAAACATGTTTTAATATGTAGATGAATTGTGATATGTATTTAGTAGTTATGTATATAATAATAGTAGTACAACAATCTTGATAATATATTATAATAAATATGAGATGTTAAAATATCTTCTTTCTTGATCACTTGGTTCTTTAATTTATTAGAAAAAATAGTGCATCAAAAATTACAACACTTTCCTGGAACACATAAATTGAGTTTCAGGGGAAAGAGTAAGAATAATTTGCTGAGTGGGATTGGGATGCAGTCCATGGACTCAGTGGACTAATCTACCAGCTAGTCCTCTAAGAGTTAGAGACTCAAGTCAAATAAAACAAAATGCCAAGATGAAATTTTACAATAAAATGTTTTTTCTTGAGAATGTTCTATATATTTTTTTTTCTGCTTGCTTGAGATGTGCTTTTTTAAGGGACAGAGGTATAAAAAATTTTTGTTCAACCCTCCTTTGGTGGGTACCTACCGTTGTAGAAAGTGAAGGCATATGGGCATAATGCTGACCACACCATCACAAAATAAAAGATTTCATCTGCTCTATGGATCATTAGGTCTGAAGGGAATTATATTTATAAACTGAAACAATGTTTACCCATGCCACAGAATGATTCCATTAATTTTGACTAGAGAGCAGTTAAATTATTTTGCATCTACTATTTTTAATATCTGCATGATTGAGAATGGACCATGACTGGAGGATTATTTCTTATCCTTAAATTGTGAATATATTTCTTCGTAATCATAAGTTAAATATTAAGGCAGTTTATGTGAAATTTTCTTTGAATACTGGTAAGTAGAGTGTATATATTTAAATATCACAAAGTACTAATTGATGAATATGAAGTTAGACAAGAACAGTAACTGCGCTCGCATTTAATAAAAATATGTAATATAGTAGTTAGCTCCCCTAACCAATCAAACATTAATTTCTTTTCTGTAATAGAATGGTAAATTATACGAATTTATTTGTGTGTAAATCATCGGTTTTATGCTTGTTATGGCGATATGATGGTATTAATCAAAATAATGCACCATGTGAAAGTTGATCTGACAAGACACATCATAATAGTTTGAATTATATATAGACTATGCTCCACTGGAGATCAAGACCTTTGTGTTCCTTAAACTACACGGTTTTATTATTATTATTATTAACTTACATTATACAATGAATTGTGAGTATTTTGTTGCTGAAGCACAAACCAGCAGTTTTGTAGCTTAGCTATGACAAAGCGAGTTTATCTCAGCCCAGTCTATGTGGTGATGCGTCAATTCTTTAGCTAAGACTATTTTGTTGTCTTTGTTAAAGACAGTGCGTATGCATCAAAAACATATTTTGAAAATTAGCAATAGCATTTTTTTTTAAATTTACAGATTTTAACATTTGTCTTATTGATTGCGTTTATTTATAACCATAAATCAGAATTTTTTTATGTTTTGTTATAGGCGTTTTGCCCATTGTTGAAGTGCGCCAAGGCAACACCTTTTAATTCTTATTTTTAAAAATGTCTTATGATGGGTTGGGGGGGGGGGGGGGGGGGGGTACAAAATCGTAAGTCCGCGCATGGAGCTGAAGTGTGAAGGGGATTGGCGGCCGCTAGTTGTAAACCTTCTAACCCCCCCCCCCCCCCCCCCCACGCCTTTTCATCTACTAGTGAATCACTCTGCTGTCCTGGCCTTGGCTAAAATTCTGTAATAAGGCCTAGCTTTAGTGATACAGATTTATGCATAATACATTTAAATAACAAGCCGTATACAACATGAGGTGCTTGCTTTACATTTCATTGTGTGAAATAGCTGAATTATCGACCCTGTTTTTTTTTTCTCCATTTCTGCCCTCTGTACAGTTCAAAACCTCCTAACCTACTTTCAACCCAAACATTAGATTCGGCTTTTCCCGGAGCTGGTCGGTAGAATGACGCAGGATATATATTAATATTCATGAGCTCTGGATCAACTTGTGTACAAGGCGAAGCGTGTTGTCGGTCTCATTCTTAAACGCTTGTTATCGCAAGTGGTTCTCTCTAGTGGGGATACAATTCTGTTTGGACTAGTTCTTTATTTCACTTCTGCTGCCTCAGTGACTTTACATACAGAACTTTAAACATGCCGGCCACGACTGAGCAACTTACTAAATATGAAAAGGTAATTTAGAACAAGAACTAATTTTAGTAATTAAAAAAAAATAATCCAATGTGTTGTGAAGTCTAAAGTCTAATGTTTTTTTTTAAATTTTTTTTCTTATGTTGATAAAAAAATGTCAACAGACTAGATGTATAAGCCAAGCAATAATATGTTATTCATCATTTATTTATGCCCAACTAAAGGTAATGTACAATTAGGCTTATAGCTAAAGTAGGCCTATTTACTATATATTAGTCTAAAACGTTTTTAAAAATGACCACATATTCGTTGACAAAATATTACTAACCTTAGGAACTAGATCTTGACAATATCTAGACTTTTAAATAAAATCTATAAATTAATGTATATATTTTACTAGGTACGGAATTATAATAGCCCTACGCCCTACACACGTTTTCCTTCGTAAAGAGTACTAAAGAGATATATGCCTACTAGATCTACATCATCTTTAAAATGAAACGTAGTCTTCTTGAAAATAACAATTTTTAAAAGAACTTTAGGCCTTATACTTGATTTCTCAACTAAAGACCCACAGTTATAACCCACTATTATCACCAAGTTTATGTTAAACCCGTGGCTACCCTGTTTTTAAGCATTAGGCTTTAAGTTATAATATTAATTTATAGTATAATGTAATTACACTATTAAATCTGGAAAAAGCAGATTATTATGAAACATGCTGTTTGAACTGCAATTAAACCTGACTTATTCGATTATTCTGGTCATATAGATTCCCGCTGTATGTAGGCTCTATTAGAGACACATTGCATGTTATGGAGAGACTATCGTTTATTATTTTGACGATTCTGTATTAGTATGTATTTTTAAAGTGAAAAACTGTTATTGCAAGCAAACAAATGCGACAATGTTATTTATGGTGAATTCTCCTTCTAGGCAAAATGATGCAATCTTGTTTACCAATATTTTAAACAAGGGGTAGCAGCTTTGTCCAAACCTAATTTGACGTTATTGTTACTATAATTATCTCTTTATGTTCGTGCTCATTTAGAAGATGTTCAGTAATACATTCATATACTAATGTACTTGTTTAAAAAAGATTTGGCATAGCTCTAGTCCGCTCCAAAAAATATTTAAATTTAGAACAAGGAGGCAAATAAAAAAAAACAATGTATGTAGGCTAGCCTAGTCATGCCAATGGAGTTTACTGAAAGCCGATTGGATGAACCAGACTGTGTGTCTCTACACACCCCCAACAGTTAGGTCGAATTGATTATCCCCGCCAAGGACAAAATACTTCGCAGTCTGAAAAAGCTGTTCTGCGTGGGGTGAGAAGTGGAGGGGAAAACCTGGCGGTGTTGTGTCTGCATGACGTCTGCTAAGCTCTCCGCGAAGCATTCTAGGCTACATGTAGATCTTTTTCAACAGAAAATTTTTCCCTTTGAAAATATGGCGGTGCAGTTAAATACATTAATCTAAAACTATTTAAGTTTACAGGAATATAGTCCTGTATTTACCATCGTTTCCATATATTCGTATACATTTTATTAGAAAAATTGTCAGAATTTAGACTAATTTTTATCGTAAATAGGCTGAAATAAAAAGAGGTCTTACTGATAGGAGTAGGCCTAGATTTAGCTACGAACTTATGTAACTGGTATTTCAGATAATGATATAATCTACTTTTACTCTCTGTGTTAGGGTTAAGATGATGTTTTAATTAGGGTTTGGTTTGGGATTGGTATATGATGGCGGTAATGACACCTCTACTGAAGTAGCTAGATTCTAATATCGTGGATTCCCATCAGCCATGCAATGACTTGACCAAGAGATTCCTTGTGTGTATAAGACTCAGAGTTTCTTCCAGGCATCTCACCCCCCCCCCCCCCCGAACGAAATGAAATTTATATAATTTATATGGAAAATATATACTTTTAACAGTGTCCGCCCCCCCCCCCCGAAGAAAGTTTACCCCCCCCCCCCCGAAGATTTCAAGTGCCCCCCCCCCCCCCGGAGAAAAAAGTCTGGAAGAAACACTGATAAGACTGGGTACATAGACGAGTACACTGATCAACACAATTTCTGGTCCAATCAGTTGCACGTGTTGCACACACTCGTGTCAGTCTAGAACACCATCGACCCCCCCCCCTCCCAACAGTACTCAATGCCGTCTCTACTAATTGGGACCTACTTTAATTCGAGTACTTCTTCACACAATAACTTCACAATGGAGGACAGGTGGGGGCGGTAGCCCCGGACCGCGAACTTAGGGGGGCGCCAAATATGGTATAAAAATAATTTTAAAAAGCTGTTTTATAGTCGAAATTAAGAAAATGGAAAGCTATTTGGGTCTCTGGGCGGTTTTCTACATTACTTGTGTGATATGAAAAAAAAACTGATTGTTTGAAGGGGGGGGGGGGTCCTTTTTGGCCAATGTGGATACGTATGTAAATATGGGGGCCCCGAAATGGGTTGCTACGCCTCTGGATTCAAATTTAGTGTTTATACTGCGGCTCCAGATCTTTTTTTTTTATTTTCTATGCAAATGTAAAAGAATATGTATGTATCAAAGCTATAGATATTTTAGAAAAAATTACATACAAGACATCCCTTAACCAAAGGTTAAGCGCAAATCTTTAGTATAAAGGCCCTATGTTGCATGCACTGTAACGTTAACCTATCTATCAGCCAAATAGAAGGAGAACGTCCCCGGATTCTTTTTTCGGGGTCATATGCAAATACCTTACGGCCTAAGTGGATGAACACTTAACACAACGACCCACTAGGGCTCGAATTTAATGTCTAGGGAAGCTAGTGATACTATTGTAATTAACACTCATCCAATCTACATACGACCTTTTAATCAGCGAACTCAGAAGTGGCAGAACACAAGGTTGAACTGAATAAAATATTTAATGTATAAAATATCAAAACCCAACTTACACAATGTAGGAAAAAACACTATCACAGATTTCTACACTGTCTAAAGAACAGCTACAGGCCACACAACACTGCTGTAGTTTCTAGAATTACTTAGCGACAAGTAATATTAAACTAGAAGACTAAATCAACTTAAGAAAGCAAGGCACACACAGGTCTTAAGTACTCTCACGTTCAAATGGTCAGAGTCTATAGCCGGACAATATGGACGGCTGCCTGACAAGGTAAAACTGCCTCGTAGTCTGCCAGGTCAAGATAAACTGCCTCGTGTTGCGAGTGTGCAGTGCAATTAAAGACTTCTGTGACAGGGGAGGTTATCCTCAACTCATGTCGCCATTGGTTGGGATAATCATCTGATCAGAATCATTCAATCAGATTTTAATGGAAAATTTCTATGTCTCAAACACCTTAATAAGTCAGTGGAAAAACCCCAGGTGTTACACCATCATTCCATATAAGGAATTATACAATGTCAAAATAAAAATGACTCGACCTAAGTAGGTCACATCCCCTCCCTTTTTGGAAGTGACAGATAGGTTCCACAAAAACATACATAAGGAACCAATCTGGCAATGAAATAACAAAAATGTTTTACAAATGTAGGCAATCAAAATCATAATACCAGATGAAAATATCCCTGAACATAAAAGGGAAGTAACTCCAACTTTTACAATTGGTGAAAGGGGAGTAACCCTTCAAAAAGTAATTATACATCAAAATCCCTCAAAAAAGGGTATTACAATATTTCCATGTGGATATTAAAAGTGGTAAACCCGCCAGGGTAAGACCTTTATTTCAATGACTAGCTACAATATCAATTGAGTCATATGAGACATTTTATTATAAATAAATATATATTACATATAATCAAAAACCACCTTTAATTAAGGTTCACCTGAAAATAAACAAAATATTCAACAGGATTGGAATTTTGAAAAAATCAAAATCATACCACTCATTTCCATGTTAAAACACAACATTTGTGTATGGTCCTAATGAACCACAAAGCATGTCACATGATCAATGTGTACAACAAGATTTTACATCCTTGACAAACAATCAGCCACAACATTATCACCACCCCTAATGTGTGAAATTTCCAGATTAAAATTTTGGAAATATAAGCACCATCTCAATATTCTTTGATTTGTCTGTCCTAACTTAGAGGTAAATTTCAGGGGATCATGGTCAGAAAACACTCTGACTGGATTGGTTGAAGAAGAGACATAGACTTCAAAATGTTGTAATGACAAAACCAAAGCTAAAGCTTCTTTTTCAATAGTAGAATAATTCTTTTGGTTCTCATTTAACTTCCTGGAAAAAAAGGCAATGGGATGGTCAATTCCCATGTTGTCTTCTTGAAATAGGACTGAGCCAATGGCTAAGTTGCTAGCATCAATGTCAAGTTTAAAGGGCTTGCTAAAATTTGGTGCAGCCATAACAGGAGCATTTGATAAAAATGACTTAATGGTTAAAAAAGCTTCTTGACATTTATTGGACCATTCAAATTCAACACCCTTTTTCAATAATGCAGTAAGAGGTTCAGCAATAGCTGAAAAGTTTTGACAGAACCGCCTATAGTAACCAGCCATCCCAAGGACTTTTTGATCTCTTTACAATTTTTGGGAGGTGGTAACCTTACAATAGCATCTACTTTAGCTTCAATGGGCCGAACTTGGTTCGTTCCCACTTGATAACCCAAATAGGTAATTGAAGCTTTACAGAAATCACTTTTATGTAAGTTTACAGTAAAATTAACTTCAGACAATTTTCTAAAAAGGTTAGTCAATTGAACAATATGTTCTTCAAAAGTATTAGAAAATACAACTATATCATCTATGTAGGCCTCACATTGGTCTATGTCAGCAATGACAGAGTTAATGACCCTCCGGAAAGTTTGACCAGCATTTCGCATACCAAAGGGCATGCGTTTGTATCTATAAAAACCATTAGGGGTTACAAAAGCAGATATTTCTTTTGCACGGTCAGATAAGGGGATTTGCCAGTATCCTGAAAGTAAATCAATTTTGGAAATTATCTTAGCTTGACCAACTTTATCAATAACGTCTTCTATCCGAGGCAAGGGATAGGAATCAGCTTTG